GCTGTAGGGATGAAATCCGATTTTCTATGGCCTGGTACGGATAAAAACGACAGCTTATTCTCATTGTCTTCCAGACAGCACTCATTCCAGAAGACAGTGCCCCCATAATACTGGGGTTCCATAAGGCATTTCCTTCTGTAATTCCAATAAAGAGACTCTTGCACCGCATTGCAGGGAGGAGGAGGTAGATAACAGGAGAGATATTGAAGACAAAGTGGAAGGAAGTCCATGAAATGTTCATGGGGAGCAGCTCACAGATGTGCTGTCGTCTTACTGGCCTTAAGGGGATTGTGCTTTCTCAAGGTATCTCATGGGGTCCGTAATATTCCTAAAATTAGCTTATGTTCTCTTAAATAGGGCATATGCCATTTAAAAATAACGGTTCAAAAGCCCAAGAACCTGATTATCCTCACGACATAAGGGCTATAAGTGTTATATCTCAATGTTAAAATCTCAAATTTTACACAAAATACAAATTAGAGTTCATTACAACAAAGTCACACAGGAGGATTCTGGGATAATGTGCACTACTGCCATACTTTGGAAGATAACAATCTAATTCTGTTTATTTTTATGTGGATACAATGCATTTTCTACAAGAAAATATGTTGGATCTCGTATTTTTCCTTTGTTTTTGTAAAACTAACAATACTTCCAATAAACTGATGTCTCTGTGGGGAAAGAAAGGCTGCTTTAACTTTCAAGCCCAGGTCTTAAATTAGTTATCCAAATGGCCTCATATTGGTTTGGTTAACTCCCAAACCAATATTAAAATAAAACTCTGAGCCCCCAAAATAGAGAAACATGGGGGAAAAGGGGGTTAGTGCATGTGATTTTATAGTGAATGGTGACAGGTGCACATGTGGACATTTATAGAAAGTTTTTTTTTTTTTTTCTTTTTTGAGCAGGGTGGGCTTCCCTTCATTTTGTTATAGAAAGGCTAGACTTTTCTTGCTTTTATCTTTAGGATTCAATGCAAAACTTTTAAGGCAATTCAATGTTTTACTACACATCAATATTAAGAACAGTCATTTTAAGAAAACAATTTAACAGTCTAAAGTGACTACCAGGTGGTGTTTTTCCTTTCCCTCTCTTAATTCTAATAATAGACCATAATCCTACTTTTAGAAGCTGAAAGCATTTTAATAGGGCTTTTCACAAGTAGCTGCTCTTTTAGAATTAGCCTTTGAAATTACTGTAATTGATGATAATTACTTTCAGAAATAAATTAAAAGCAATAAGCCTTCAAAAATTAGACAGTCAAAGATATACTATACCTTAAGGTGCGATTTTGAAAATTATGCTGACCCATTGGTACATCCTATATTTAAAAAAAAAAAGGTTATTAGTTGCCAAAAACATGTTTCAAGAAGAATGGTGTAATAATAACGGTGTATAACATATTTCTTCTTTTGTCATAAAAAGTAGCATTTAGATAACAATTACTCATGAGAGTAAGAGCTCAGTCATAAATCGAGAGAGTTGCAGTTGAGAACTCACTGCTAAATGTTTGATAATACACTTAAAAAATAAAGATCCACTTTTACACATTTGTGGTATGAATAAAAATAAAAATTGGAACAAAGGGGCTCTGGAGTAACCTCTGTTTGCTGCTTTGATCTCCATAGTTAGATCAGGAAGTGTATTTAGCCTAGGGAAAGGTAAGGTATTTCTTTAAAAAGTAACTGAACTCCAAGTTTTATTACCTACAGTAAAATAATGCACTATTCAGCAGCTCTATCAATGTTGAATGAAGATTCAATGGAGTCCTGCATAGGAGAGTAGATGAAAGAAATATTTTTGGGGGATGACAATTGTTCACTCCTGGAATGTATCACTAAGAACTATGACGGAATCTTTCTGAAAATGAGTAAGAGACTCAGCTGAGTAAAAGTGGTATGGACTGAATAAGCTAACCAAAGCCTTGGGACTTTCTTAAGATATCCTATATTGCTGCTAAGACAATATAAGCCTCCACTTTGAGCCATCATAACAGCTGAGACCAGATGGTTAAGAAAATTTAGTTCACTCAAGAGGTCTTCTGATTTTTATAAACAACTTCCAGAAGCTCAAAGCACTTAAAAGTTCCAGCTCTATCTTGAATGGGTCATCTTCAATAACACATAACAACACATTAATGTCAGACCAAAATCACTGCTGCAGGTCCATGCTAAAATAAGGGAGATAGTCACTCTAAGTCTTTGACAATAAAGACTAATAAATAAACAATCACAACAACAACACGACTAGAAAAGTAAGACTTTCCCCCCCACAGATG